CAAGTATAACTTGATCGCTTTTATTTGTAACTAAGGTCGAATGAATCGATTTATTTAGTCCTACCTTACTACTACTACTTTCTTGGCTCTTCTTTTCATCTTCATATTTTCTCAATCGAGCCAAGAACCCTTCGTAATCTCTATTCATCTGCACCGGCCACTTCGAGGTTGGCCCCCTCTTTGATCATAACAAATCCTTTCTTCTCATTCATCTCTAAGAATCGCTCCTCATGTAACTTTGAATTAAAATATTCGACAGTTTCGAAGGTGAATGGTTGAGCAAGTGCCGATTCTCGCATGTCCGACCGACTCGAGATACGAATGTTACAAATTCGTGCCGATCCCCGGGATTACTTCGAGATGTCCATCTCGATTCCACATGAATAATTTCGATGAGTCGTAGATGGTACGGCCCCTACTCCATGAATCCACTCCCTGCCAAGTAGTGCATTGAAATTGGCATGTGACTGGACAACAACAAACACAGTAGGCCTCGAATAAGTGCCCACTTTCACGTCTAAAGCAATCATGCCTTCTGAGCTCGATGTTTTTCCGCTGAAATCGGAAATCATGATATTGTGCCTGACTAAATCTTTCAGTTTAATACCAAACCTCTTCAACATGGTGATTGGCAATATGTTCACTGCTGCACCACCATCGACAAGGACTCTATTCACCATTTGTCCTTGAATCTCGATATTCGATAATAGGGGCTTCAGGTGGAACCTCATTTCCTCAGATGAAGGATCAATAAAAGCAAGATCTCTATGAGGTACTTCACATGATGTTTGTGCAACCCATGTTACCTTTGGCCTTATGTTTTCTGAATAGAAGTCATCTTCTCGATCAAGCATCACTCGTTCTTGGTATTCTTGATATTCATTAACATATTCCGCGGGTAGTATCGATATCACTCCGATTTGATGTTCATCCCAGCTACCCTCATTCTTATCGCCGAAATAATCTCTTGCATATTGGCCCCCCATTGGTACATTATTCTCTTCAAAGTTTCTGTAATTATTCCAGTAAGGGATCCTTCCTCCTCTTCTCCAGGGCCTTCCACGGAATCGCCTTTGGAATGTTGGGAATCTAGCATTCGATCCCCCATCGTATGAAAGCCTCTCAAAGACATCATTACTCTGAAGTCTGATCTCTCCTCTTCGAGAAGGGTACATCTCTCTTTTAACCCACTGTCTTTGATTCCCACTAACACCAGAACCAACAAATTTCTGTTGACTTTCTCCGATCGTTGGTTGGTTTGTTTGATCCACTTTGTCATTTTTCCTTTTATTCTGACTTTTGATTTTCTTTATCTGCTCCACTCTGAAAGCCTTAGCAGCTGACTTGTCGAATACTGCACTGCATCGCAGACATAACGACACATCTTCATCTTTTCCTTTCTTTTTATTTAAAAACTCGATGAGAGAATCTCCTGATCGAGGATAAATCTCCCTCTCGAATTCTTTTTCTAATTCACTCAGATCGAATTTCATATCTTCTTCAGATACATCCATTCTGACATGCTTGGGATCAATGTCTTCAGTAACATCGACCATGCCTACAAAAGCAGAATTCGTCACTCGGACATCTTCAGTCATGCCCGTTTGGGATTCAATATACCCCACTTGAACTTCGAATGGACTCGTGTCCACTTTCATTGACATCTCTTCAAATTTCAGTCTTCCTTGGTCAATCGCATCTTGGATCGTATTCCTGAAATGTATACAATTGTTAGTCCAATGTCCATAAACATTATGAAATTTGCAATATTTTCGACCATTCCTTTGTTCTGCAGAGGGCAGTTTATGGTCATCACTCAACTTAATTTGTTTGTCTTTTAATAAAATATCAAAGATTTTATCTGCATTTGTCACATCGAAAGTATACGTTCGATTTGCCATTTTATCTTTTACTTCATTCTTTTGTAGCAATTTACAGATATATGGAGCCCCTACTTTGAGCTCTGCTATATTTACTTTCTCATCGACAGTTTCTTCAATATCATTTTCTGTCATGGGATCTGTCTCATATACATCATTTATATATGCTACTCTTTCTTTTTTCATGGGTTTCTCATATTTCTTATACCTTTGTTTTTCATACTCAATTTGTTCCACTCTTCTCACTTTATCAGCTAATTGAGTCATGTCATTCAATGGTAAATTAACTAACTTTTTCCTAATCGAGAATTCTAAGCCTGCAGAGGCCATTCTGACTAATTCATATTCAGGAATTTGAGTGAAACATCTCGACTTCATTAGTCTAAATCGATTCAAATAATCATCTATGCTTTCATGATTGTATCTTTTTATATTCATCAAATCGATGAGACTTACTTGAGTTTCTCCTCTAAAGAATTGCTCATGAAAATTTCTTTCCAGTTGTAGCCAATTATATATCGAATTGGGTGGCAACGAAGTAAACCAAGTAAAAGCATTCTTAGTCAAAGAACTAGGGAAATATTTCATCTTTAATTCCTCACTCATCGCTAGGTCCCCACATTCGATCTGATATCGAGCTACATGCTCGATAGTTGATTCACCAACTTCTCCAGCAAATTTGGTGAATTTAGGTACTTTGTATCCTCAAGGTAATTCCGTCTCGAGAATCGCATTTGGAAAAGGAGAAACAAAATACATTTGATTGGGTGTTCTTAACTCTATTCCTTGGGAATTCACCCTTTGTCCTAACATGTGATTATACTGCATATTATTTTGATTGTACATACTTTGAAATCCTTCATTCAGATTCCTGTAAATATCATTCCTCACATGTTGATATTCGTTCCCCATATGCTGATGTTGATCATTGTTTCGATTCCTCCTCAATAGATACGGGGGATTGATGTTAGCACTTTGGTTAGTGCTTTGATTGGCATGATTTTCCACTCTTGTTTGTCGAGGTATAGCCAATGCATCCCCGATACGGGTCATTTGGTCTGCTAATATCTCAAAACTAGCAGTAGTGTTTTGAACTAATGGATTGAGGACTGTAGTCAACGGTTGTGATAACATGTTCACCATCTCAAAATTGCTCTCATCCATTTGTTGTCTAAGTACTCCTAGTGAGTTGTTGGAGATCCCAGTACTAGTGTTTTCAATAGTCTCAAAATTAGATCGATGATAATCTCTATCGAATGCATTTCTCCCATGATCCAGATTTGCTCTGTGATCTAGATTTGGAGGTATCTGTTGTGTACCTAAATTCTGCCCACTCCCTGAATTCTGGGGGGTTACTAAATTTTGATATCTAAATTCGGAGAGACTCCGAAATTTTGCGGCATACCTAGGGTTTGAAAGGTACCTGAGTTCTGAGGCATTCCTAGGTTAAATCTCGAGTTTCGTTGTATCGAAGAGGTACCAGCCCCATTCATATTAAGCGAAAACCCAGGTGGTCTTACGCTCATATATGGCCCAACATTTGTTGTTATGGGGTTTCCCATAGTTTGCATATTGTTTGGTGTCACCGTACTAGATCCTACTTGGGTGTTTGCTAATGTGCCTGCATTTTGTTCATTACTCACAGGTATCGACATACTCACGGTTGTCGATATTTCAGGCATATTCCCATTATAACTTTGCCCCCCAGTATTTGGTGGATGTGCACCATTTAGACCCTCACTATTACTCTGGTTATTGGCTAGATTCTGACTCATTCTTATAACTCGCCCACTCCTTAATCTCATATACTTTCAAACTAACCATTTTTGTGTATTTTCAACACAAGACGTCTCACTGGGCGTGCCAATTTGTTTCTGGTGAATTTCGATCGATTCCGATTCTTAAGAGATTTTGTTCTAACCAAAACTCAACCACGCAAGTTCTTTTTACTTAGGCTAGCAAATGTTTTTCAATCGAAATGTATATGAGAATCGAAAATATCACAATATCGAGAAAATCCCACTAACGTGTCATGACTTATCGAAAGCACTATTTTTGGTATTTTGTATTTATAGTACTCGAAGAGAAAAAGGCAGTAAAATATCAAATCAAAAAGCAGTACCGAATATTAAATTGCGAAAAAATGTAAAGTACGAAAACCTTAAACTTGCATTAAGTGTAAACGACAAGGAATCGAAATTGCGGAACTAACGGGAAATCGAGATTGCAGAAATGTAAATAGCAAGAAATCGAAATACGCAGAAAAAGTAAATAACTGAAAATCGAATTTGCATCGAAGTTGAAGGACAAGAAATTTAAATGCAGAAAACTTAACTTCCATTAAACTGAAATTGACCAGGAATCGAAAACACAGAAACTTAAAGTTGCTAAACATAAAATGCATCAAAGTAAATTACCAAGGAAAATAAAGAAAGCGGTAAAGGTACTCAATGAGCGTGGAAATCCAGATCGCCAGAAACTTCATGATGTTCGTCGTTCTCCGGTAGACTTCTCACTAGTATTTCTGTTCTCTGCCAATTTTCCACCTCCTCCCCTCTCATCTTTCGCTCTATTTATAGAGTGTCTTTTCAAGTAGTTTCTTAAGAGCAGTTAATGAAAACTGCTACCACGTTCTTTGTGCACGTCTTTTTCCAGTTTTGCTCCTAGCTCTATGGTTTAGAAATTGCATCCACGTTCCCATGCATGAGGTAACTGTTCCCTTGACCTTCGATCTTTGCCACCGCTTACTATGTTCGATGTATACGTCGACTGTTCTTTTTAGCCAAAATTTCGATATTCGCGTATGTTAGCCTTCCCTTCGATTTAGACTTCGAGACTTCGAGAGTTTTGGATTGCTTTTGATTCTCGGTATCCTTAACGTTACATTATTTTGATTTCTTGATTTTCATTACCAACGGACATTAAGCGTTATTCCCTCGATTCTCGATTTCAATACTCGATATGTTTTTATCTTTGTGGTCACCAGGTGTGTTGTCAATTTTATCGATTTTTCAATCAATTGTATAGTTCTCAATTTTTGCTTCCCTCCACTTTTTCGATCTTTTTATTGATCTCTTACTAACATACCTAAATAGTATATTTTAGTGTTTTAAATTATACCTCACGATGTGCCCAAATTCAATGTGACCCCTTGATGCATTGTTTGGGCCAAGTCTTCTCGCCCTCAATGTATATTAATTTGTTAAGTTTGCATCTTCTCCTCCATTCCAATGGTGGGGCAGATTCTTTCTTTAAACTTATTTTTCTATTTATTCCTCAACCGCATCCAATCACAGGATAAAGTTGAGAGCTGTTGAATCGAACCCATCAGAAGCATACCAGAAATATGCCTCAATCATGTCATTTTCAAGCAACCAACTTGCCGACTTGCTCGACCAGGGCCTATCTTCCTGTTTTGGTCGTCAATAAGATTATTGGAACTTTTACTCCATTAAATATTTTTTTTATTCCATTTATTTATTTATTATTGGACCATTCTTTTTAGGATAGCTATTTCAAAATAATATGGCATTTCATCTTGTTCTCCTTTCTTGGACTCCTTGTTCAATCAACCCCAATTTCAAGAAGGTTCAAGGTTTTGCCCTTTTTCCCAATCCCCACAATTCACGCTCCCATGTCTCCGTCTTTTATTGACCTGCAAATTGAAAATTAATACACCATCCAGTCATAAAAAAAAATTTATATAAATTAGCAACAATAATCTAATTAATTTTAAAAAAAAATGTTAAAGGGAAATACGTACCCACTTGAATAATCAAGCACAAAAATTGAACGCGTGTGGCCACAATTAACACGCGAAACCACCAAGGAACACGTATATAACACGTCACAGGAATCGTAGTCTCGTATCAAACGCTGGTTAACGGAACCCTAACTGTTAAAAAAGAGAGCCCCGGACAGTCGTTACATTGAAAATTAAATTTAGCCTCAATTCAAAAAACTAGAACCTCAAAATCCATCCATATCTAAGATTTTATCAAAAAAAAAAAAAATTTGGTATTTCACAATCCTCTCATTTTTTTTTTCTTTTCGTTTTTTTGGTCTTTTGGTATTTTCACCACCATCATATCACGTATGGAATCAACTCTGTATACGCAATTCTTATGTGACTGTATTTAAACGGGAATAAATCGATTCGCCTCAGTGGCAGTAATTATAGCAGTGAGGTCCACGACGCCAAAACCTTGGACTTCCATCGAACTGCGTGTAGCAGCAGGCCTTAGCCGAGCCGTTACGCACGCCGATCGCGTACGAAGCAGGCATCGGCTGTGTCCGGTAATTGCAGCCGTGGCGGTACACCGCCGCCTACGGCAGGGACTCGGCGGACGTGTGAGGTGATCTGGACGGAGAGTGACTGGCGCTGGATGACGCCGAGGACAACGACGGAGCAGACGAAACCTTTTTTGCCGATTTCGGCGGCAAGAGAACGGCTCTGACCTTCATTGGATGCTCCAGTTTCGATGAGGCACGATCGTATTCTTCGATTATGTTAGAGAGATCTTCGTCGTTGGTGATGGAAATTAAGGTCTCCAAGTCTCCCTTGGGTAATAGACACCTCAAGATCACAGACGAACCACAAAATTCCCTAAGCTTATCCATCAATTCTGCACAACGACGCAACGAAACGTTGATTAAATTCACGAAACAAAGAGAGAAACTAAAACACGCCAGAGTGAACACGAAGGCTAAAAAGTAAGGAACGAACCTGAAAAGGAGATTGAACGTTGGACGGTGAGTACTCTCGTGTGGCCGCCGACGTAACGGAGTTCGCCGTCAGTAGATCGTGGACGTATTTTGCCGCCGTAGCTACAGAGGAGCTTGATATTTTGACCGGGTTTGGATTCCATGACTCGTTCTCGCCACTGAGTGACTTAGTAGGGTTGAAAGGAAAGAAGTTTGAATTAGAAGATTCTAGAAAGAGAGAACTGAGGAAGAAACTCGGAAAGTTTTTTGCTCCTCCGTTGTTGAGGCTTAGGGCTTGAAACCCTGGGCAGTGCATTTGGGGTTTATTTATAGGCGGAAGTAGAAGAACAGGCCAAGGCGTTATGAATTACCATTTTCTTTTTCTTATTTACGAAAAGAATAGAACCTTTGATTTTTATTTATTATAAGGAGGACCGTTGATTTCAAGTAAAATATTTAACTTCTTTATACTTACTAATATTCTTAACTGATTTAAATATATATATATATATATATATATTAATAATTTGTATATTTAATATAACAACTTTTGTTAATTGATCTTGAAGATTTTCTAGAGTAATTTTGTTAGTTAATTAATTGATTAAATATTAATAATTAATAACAATTTATTAAAGAACAAAAAAACTAAGGAACCTACTAGGAGTATTCCTTAAGTGATTAATAATTAATAGCAATTGAAGGGAAAATAAAAATAAAACTGAGAACCTACGTGGAGTGTTTGGTAAGTGATTCATAATGACGGTCAATTCATGTTACTCCCATATATGCGGATATTCCTTTCTTTTGCTTTTTAGAAGAGGAAAATCTAAGTTCAGATTGAAAAATAAAAGATAATATAATAAATAAATAAAAGCAAGTCAGGACTTTTATTTTAGATTATTAAAAAAAATATATAATAAAAAGTTGAAGCGTGGATACCGAACAAAGTTAGGATGGGTCGTTCTGGTGTAGTGATGAGCCACGCGTCGTGATCCAGAAGATTCTAAAATTGAGCCAATACTTTGAAGTGCGTACACATGGATGATACAATTCAATCTGATTAAGTTTAAGTTTACAGAGAAATTATACTAAAACTGTGCGTTTTTTAAAAGTGTTAAAATAAATAAAATTATTTGTTTCTTTTATTTATATATATAAATGATATCAAAATATATTAAATAAAAAATTATAAATATTTAAAAAAATTAGAATCATCATCATTGTTATCAGAAATCACAATAACTACACAGAACCGAAGAATTCAGGATTGAAAATAAAAATTGAGACGAAAACAAAATAAAACTAAAATCAATATGATTCATATGAAATAAAAAAAATGTTTTTTTTTAAATTATCCTTTAAAAGATATCTTAAACCAATTGAGTATTTTGGCTCTTTCGAATTTTAATCTATTTCATCCAATTTTTTTGTTTTATACTGATTAATTGAAGACAATATGATTTTTAGAAAAATAATGGATTGGTATCTGAACAGATTCTCATTTGAACCAAATGTATGATTTCCATGTCATTGATAAAAGCATTATATGTGATAAATTTAAAATAATAATTTAATCTTCAAAATATTTACTTATTATAATTTTTAATTATGAATGTAAATATTTATTTTGAGTATACACATACTAAAATTTTCTAATCAGTATAAATTAAATTTAAAAATTATAATAAATTATGTTTCTAACCCTTCTATTGAGTTTAACATTAGATGATCATGCATGGCTTAATTTGTCTCATTTATTGAGTGAATTTTATTTAATACTTAGTCACTATTACATTAATTATTTTAAACTTTCTCTGTCAATTTGATAATTAATATAAATTTCGGTTTGAGTATCTTATTTTTTTTTAAACATGTAAATAATATAAGATTATTGATTATTTTTTATTTTATTAATTTAAACTTTTTCTTTTTTAATTATTTTTATTTTATCAATTCTTCTCTTTTTTAATATTTATTTATAAATTTAAATCATAATCATATATTTAAAAATTTAAATAAAATAACATAATGAAAAAATACAATATTTCAATTTTCATAAATTTTTTTTTAATATTTGATGAAACAATGACTAATAAAAATTTAAATGAAGAGTAAAATATATTTTTTCATATATTGATTATAATAAATATTTAAGTTTATTAAAAAATTATTTTTTTATTTGTTTCTCCTATATTATTAATTATATCATTAAATCATTTACCTGTTATCCTTACAAATATTACTGGTGTGATTTCACGTGTGTATATATATATATATATATATATATATATATATATATATATATATATATAATAATATAATATTGATATGCGTGAAGTATGTGCTCTAAGTGTTACTTAAAATATGATTTTTAGAAAAATTAAAAAAAAAACTCACATATTTCTTGTACCAAATTGTGCAATTGAAATTATTTTTTTAGAGTAATAAAAATATTTTTACAATAAATTTCTCCGTTATATCTTTATATCTTCGTCTCTCTGGTTTTCCTTCTCTCCCTCTTCCCCTTCTCTCACCTCCCTTGTCGTCACTTGTTTTCTTCTTTCATCCTATCTTCCTTCCATTCTCTCCCTAGCTTTCTATGTCCCCTTCCTCTTCTCCTCCCCAACCAAAAGACTTTGTGTTCCCTTTTCTTTTATAATTATTACCTTCACTTTCTTATTGTCTTTAATACCCTTATATCCTCTTTTTCTTCTTAATTAATATCAACTTGACTCTTTTTTTAAGGTACTTTTCTCATCATATACATAATTTTTGTTTTTAAAATTATATGAAAAATGGACACATATAAAACACAAATTAACTCTAAAAATAAAGTTAAAATAAATCACTTAAGAAAACTTACTAGTAATTTTTCAATAATTCTTCTAAAAATAAATAGGAAATAACTAAGATATTTAAATAAATGAGAAGATAAAGACATTACATATATATTAAGATAATTTTACTATTGTCATGTGTTAGCATGCACATATACTAAGATTATTTGACTATTGTCTTGTGTTATTATGTTTAATGAATATCACTATATTGATCACATGGTTTTAGAAGCACGAAGAAGAGAAGTTATGTTAAACTACATGTCATTATACCAATAAGTATAGGGAAACTCAATACGTGACTAGTTAATTATCATCAAATCTTTGATGAGGTGTTGACTATCTGGTTCATAGTTAACCAATTGAAGTTTATTATTAGCATGTCTAATATAGATGTTAATCATATGATGAAACATAGACCAACTAAAGTTTATCAATGTGTCTAATGCATATATATTTGTTGGAAGGATGAAGGTTGCTTAGAATGGTTGAACTTAATGAATCTAACTATTCCTTAGAGTTTTCTAATATTGAAAACTCAAACATGTTTAGAATGTGTCAGGATTGCATGTAAGTTTGTCTTTAGTGGTTTCATCTTTAATTATTTTTATAAAACTCCTTTAAGAGGTTTTAGAATTTATCTTGGTAATAGGAAGTTTTTAATTTATTAAAATCACTTAGAGCCATGAGCAATTATGATGGTTTTGTTTTTAATATGTAAAATAAATTTTTGATAGATTAAAACTTTTCTAAACTTTCTCACAAAATTGAACCATTTTGTTTAAATTAATTAAATGAATTTTTAATAGATTAAATTTGTTCTACGCTTTAAGAAGTTTTTCAAACCTCTCTATTTTAATTTATTAAATGTTTTTAATAGATTAAAACTTATTTACGTGTTTCAAAAGTTATTGAATTCTATTTTAATATGTTAAAACACGCTTTTAATTGATTAATTTCACTAGTAAGTGAAACTAACAAATAAAAATCCATTTTTAATCCATTAAAACTTGTAGACTAAAACCTATATAATTATCTTGTTTCTAATCATTTTTATGTATGATTTGAGTCTAGTTTTCATATATCATTTTTAATATTGAGAGAGAATTATTATTAAGTTGAAAAAATGTTATTAGAGCTTTCTTGGATGATTTTATGATCATTCTCTGGAAGTTATAAAGAAACAAAAAGTTACACTTGGTCTTTGTTCTTTTGTTGTATTTGTAACATATCTAGGTGATCCTGTTCCATCATTCTAATATTCCTTTTGTGTTGTATCACTAGTTTTAGATAGAGTTTTTAGATTTTGTATTATGATAGGGTGTCACTATATTAAGATCACATTTTTGTAAGGTTCAAGTTTTAGTTTCTTAGGTAGGTTATATTTGTTGTTGATCTGTAAAACTTTATTTTTAGTGAAAGTTTTGTAGGTGTAGATCGGCAATTGGATTTAACTTTTTGTATAAGAGTAAACCAATATAAAGTATCATGTGGATATATTTCTCTCTCTCTTAAATATTGATTATGAAATCTTTACTTGTTCTTGAATATTCTTGGATATTATGTGAAAGACTATCAAAATCCTATGATTAATTGATTTAATAAAGATTCATTCTAAGTATTTTTTAAAAATATGTAATAATTCAATACATCTCCCTTTTGAACTTAACCATTTTAATTTAACAATATTAACCACACGATGAAGCATTTACCAACTAAAGCTTATCAATTTGACTAATGTAGATGTTGATCATCTAAGAAAGCAATGATCAATTGAAACTCATCAGCCTATTTGACAAAGTGTTGACCATCTAATAAGATATTGGTCATCTAATGTAATATTAACCATTATCAAACCTTTTGAAGAATGTTTACCACTTGTTAAGACGTTAACCATCCTTCGTTAGGTTCACCAACTGATGAAAAAACTAGTATTAACCATTTAAATAAGAGCTAATTAGTTACATACTCGTTTGATGGAACCAAATTTGACTGAAGACATCACTATTAGTCTCAACCTATGAAGATTCCTCTACTAAAGATTAACTAGAATCAAGCCATGTGTATACTTTTGAAAACTTATTTATGTTATAGGCTTACCATACTTCGCGTCGACTAGAGTTACTATAAGATCATGTATCACTCCTAGCCTCAACCAAATCTGAAGCACATCTTACTAACCTTAATGAATCTATAATCAACATACCACTAAGAAGTCAATAGATGTGTCATGCTTATCAATTAGCTAAGCTATGTATCATTTAACTAAAAGGTGCAAGGTTTTGAATTTTTAAGAAGTTACACACAAAAATTGTGTAAGATAA